CTGCCCCACAGCCAGCAGCCGCAGGTGCAGTGAAGGGCTGGCAGCCCCCGCACCCACCCGGGGGGGGCCGCATCACCCCCTACTCTGTCCTGCTCATGCAAGTGCCTTCCGGACTTGGGGCCCAGCTGCCTGGACTCGGGGGGACGGGACACAGCCAGCTCCTGCCCCTCTCTGCTCTTATTTAATGGTCCCTCTTCTGAATAAAGGGACACAGTTTCCATTAGCCTTTGCCCTCCCTCCCTCTCTCCAGCCCCAGCCCTGAGCAGGCAGGGTGCTAACCCCCCCCAAGCCCTGCCTGGGGCTGGGAGTCCGGCAGCAAGGAGGCAGCTGTGGGCCCCTCCTCAGCATCCCTCCATGCCGGGGCTGTCCCCAACCAGGGGGAGAAACCACAGCGCACACAAGAAGTGAAGAGCGAGTTTTACTTCAGTAACTGAGAGAAGAAGCTGTACAAAGGTTTTTTCTCCCCCCCGAGCCCCCTGGGGCAAGGGTGGATTTTTTTTTCTTTTTTTTTTTTTTTTTGCAATAGACTCAAAAGAGCAGAATAAAAAGTTTGACACATTCGCAAAGTCAGTGCTGAAACCAGCCAGGTCCCGGGCGGCCAAGAACAGCGCGTGTGACAGCTCCCGTCCGCAGCCCTTCCGCTGTCCCCAGACCCCTCCCTGCACACCCTGGGCGCTCCTGCGGCCACGCTCCACCACCGGCACCTCGCTCCAGACGAGCATCCTCCAGCCCACCCTGGGGTGGTGGGGGCTGCCCCAGCCTGCCCCTCACCTTGGAGAAGAGGGAGCCCGCGGCCAAGGAAGTGACTGCACCGCTGCTCTTGCAGCATGAGGACCTCACAGCGCTGCGGACGGGGCTTTGCCGGCAGCCTCCGAGGCCCCAGCCATGCTTTGGAGAAGCAGCATGGGAAGGAAAGCCGGCTCCAGGCTGTGCCAGCCCTGTAAGGCAGCGGGGAGCCCCAAGTCAACCCTGGCTTTGAGGTTCACCTTCCCCTGCCAGGAATACTTACACGCTGTTACCCAACGCCCCCCGGGTACGATGCTCACACCCAAGCAGCACAAACAGGGCCGTTCCAGGCTGCTGCTGGGGGGGGGTCATGAGGCTCCAGCACATCAGCCCCCCATGCAGCCACGAGTGCAGCAATGGGTGCTGCCATCCCAAGGCTGCCTCCTCAGTGCTGGTGGCCACGGGGCTGTCTCTCTCCGAAGGGTTGCTGGTGCCGGAGCGGGGCTGGGGTGCAGGCAGCAGCACACACAGGAGCCCATGCTCAACTTGCTGCAGGAGGGAGCTGGGTCTCCCACTAAGTCCATGTAAAAATCTCATCCCCCCAGAGTGCAGTGCCTACCAGACATGGCTGGGTTTATGGTTTTGTTTGTTTTTTTAAACAGTTCCCAAAAAGCATCAAAAGTAGCCCCAAAAAACCCTCCCTGGTGGTCAGCTCGATCTGGTACTAAAAAGTGCAAAACTGTATCACAAAAACCGTTCAAAAGTTGTAAGAAAGCGGGGAGGGTGCAGAGGTGGCTGGGGTGGCAGGGAGGGGCCAGGTGCC